TATTTTCAATAATATTTCAAAAAATAACAAATAGCAATACACACATAAAGAAGAAGCCAACAACAAATAGCAATGAGCACCCAATTGATTCGAAGTACAAGCTATATCGAGTTAAGTAATCAAAGGAGGCCAGCAATAAACACACAAATGACAACATTAGGGATTAGGACTCAAGCTTTACAATCAAAGGAATGAGTTACCTAAGCGAGAAAGACAAAAATGTGGTCAACTATGAAAGCATGGCTTATACCCCTTAACGTTGACAGCGACAATAAAGATCTTGCACAAAAAGAAGACAGCGATTAGGGCTTCTCATAAGTAGCTCAAGGGAGAAATAAGATGATGACAATAAGGGGGATGAAAAGGGACAACATGAGCACTCCACGCCATCGAGCAATACCAGCTCGAAAGAGAGAGTATCAAGTGATTGTTTTGTGAGAGCGTGAAATTAAAATGTGTGAGAAGCTATATATACTTAGGGTAAACTATTTACTCTAGTTAAACCCTAGAAACCGGTGCACATATAACATATTATTTTGAATGTTCAACAGCTAGTCTAAATGTTACTAAATACATCGACAGTGTCAACGAATAGTGTAAGAGTTACTTTTGTATATCAAATGTGTATATAACTAGGGTAAATTTTAAACCAGTAAAACCCAGAAAACCTAGATCCAATCAATCTTGTTCTTAAACTAGTGAACTACTTATCTGCAAATGAATACAAAACGCACAAAAATGACAGCTATAATAAAAAACACAATATTTTTTTCCATTGATTCATAAGGGGAGTTGAGAGACCATTACAAAATATTTGAAAAAAAAGACTACAATATATATTTTATAGTATATATTATCTTTAGAAAAAAACCTCTCTAATCTGTATTACTACTTAACAAGAGGAATGAGAGGAGGTTTTCTCAAAGGAGGAGAGGAAGAGTTGTCCAACAGATCACACTTGATGTCTCTGTCATCAAGTATGATATTGACTTTGGTGTTGAGAGCATAGTAGTTAGCGGTGTGACTATAGAGGCACTGCTCAAGAGTAGCAGCTCAAACGGCGGTGGAAGAGGCGGCGAAGGAGAAGGGAATGGAGGATGAAGAAGTAAAGTTCCACCATAGTGCTGGCGATGATGAAAGAAAAATGATGGAGAAGAATAATTAGGCTCTGAGTTTAAATAAATAGTGAGAGGACATGATGATGATTTTTGAACTTCAAACACGTTACCTAAGGGAACGAACATGAAAGACACAAGCTCGTCTCTTCAATTTCTCAATGCTCATATTATTTACACCGGTCATTTACCAATGTTCACATTGATTTTCAAAACATCTGCCATAAATGATACTCCTTCTGTTCCTTATTATAAGAGACATTTGATGCTTATGGCATGTTCCTATATATAAGAGACACTTACAAGTTGTCTCTACTTTTTTGTGTTCATTTACTATTTTACCCATATTTATTATTTCCAACTCACACTCTCTTTCCCTCTCACTTCTCTTTCTTTTAATAATTTAATTGTTCACTCTCCTTATTAATGAGGGCATTTTTGGAAAAAAAATTATACTTTTTACACATTAATTGTTCTTAACTAATTTTAACTGTTTTTTTGATCAACGTACTTCGGTTATTTGTCTCTTATAATAAGGAACGGAGGGAGTAACATTTACACCGAGTATATGCACAATTGGTGTGAAGATTATATCATTATTTACAACAATGTCACTGCGTCTTTTATTGCACCATTGACACTGATTGATATAAATAAGACGGTGTAAAAGGAAATTTTTGTAGTAGTGTGTATAAATTAATTGCCAAGCTCATACATTTAGGATTTGAGGGAATATATATAATTTCCCCCTCCTTTTATATATGTAGAAATACAATATCCTTAGTGACCCATTTATGTAAGGGAAAATTGAGAAAAATTCCCTTATTAGAAATTTTATTGGTGAAGACTTAATAAACTTTTTATACATAAAAGGTACTAATGCTTTACAAATTTTATACACACAAAGTACCCCATCCTGACCTAGGTCCTTTTCACCAATAAAATTTTCAATGAGGGACTTTTCTCCAATTTTTCCTTTCATATACTCTCGCGCAAAAAATAGAAAAAGCAAACCCGTACACCATTTACGTTTCAAAATATTTAGAATTGGAATTATGAAAGGACTTTACTTGAAACACACACATATTAGTCCAGTGAGGCTTGAAATGGTGAAGCAACACAAGGTTAGGTAGAAGGGAGCGACCAACGTTTAGGCTTACAGGGCTCTCTCACAACGCGGAGTCATTACTTCGTTTGAAATTTTGGGCATTGCCACTCAACTAAACTTACAAAACAACCTACAATTTATTCAGTTCCTACCAATCATTTATTTTCGTAACCCTTTTTATGCATTATTTATTACATTACTAATAATAATAATGCTTAGTAGTTTTATATTTCAAAATACTTGGAACTAGAATTATGAAAGGACCTACTGTTGAAATTTTGGCTCTCTTCACTATCCTCTCTCATCACCTTTCTATGGAATATTTATGCTACTACTAATACTTGTTAGGTTTCTGTTCCATGAAAGGAAAATTTTCATCGAAGATATTAAACTTATTAATTTAAATTCAAAATATTCAGAATTGGAATTATGAAAGAGTGAAAGAAATCTGCTAAGAGAATGGCTCTGTAGTCTATACCTCAAAAGTAACAGTCTACTTTTTTTTTTTTTTCCTTTCTTTTTTAAAATTCAAAATGATTTCATTTTAAGCTTAATAATATAGTCACACACACACACACATATATATGATCCCACCCTGCTAACCAGCCAAAATTTTTTTTATCAGACCAGCCAGAAAACTGGTTCACTAGTTCATTGGTCCAACCCGCTTAGATGGTTAAGATAAAGATATTGAAATGGATGTGTGGTTATGTAAAGAAAAATAAGATTCATCCTCCTCGTATATTAAGCAGAGCAGGAAATAATATGAAGAAGAGTTGGTGTAACATCTATTAAAAAAAATGATAAAACATTATTTGAGGTAATAATACAAACATATATAAAGAAGGTAGCCAGAAGCCCCAGTAGAGTAGATTAGGTTAGTAAAAGCCATATGAAAAGTAGAGAAATACCAAAGATAATATTGAATTAAATTATTAAGTGAAAACTTTTAATTGTATATAGAGCACAATAACATCATACGGCACAAGGCTTGCACTGCTGTATTTAGGAAAGTTGTGAGTGGGACGGGTATGAAAATTAAATTATATTCAGGCCTCTGAAAAATTAAATTATGATGAGCAGGTGTGGCACGTGAAACGACACTAGTTAGTTTAAGGTCGATTCAATTCATTAATGGGAAGAGGAATTTTACGTTATTCGTTGAAGGCATTTATCATGGCATTATTTTCCCGTTTTTTTTGTAAAACAAAAAAATAGAGAATTCAAATATTGATTACTACCCATACCTCCCCATCTTGCCGCCCCAAGCTAGTTTCAAAGTCCATTCGTTGCTCTATTTTCAAATAATCACTAATTATTAAATATTTCTAAAAATGAAAAAGGAGACTTGGTTGGGTAAAGCATTAAAAAGCGTTTCATTTATATCATAAAAAATAAAAATTATTATACGCCACAACATAGAAAAAATGTATAAATTTATTTTAAACATTCAAAATTAGAACTTAGCTTCTCTTCCCTTTTTCCCCTTACCCTCATTTTCATCTGCTTTTCATTTATCATCATTATTGATTATAATTTATAACAGTTCATATTTAATATTTTATACAAAAATATTATTATAATTTTATATAAAAAATATGAATATATTTAAAGTATTAAAATTTCATATAAATAGTTCACACTTAAAGTGAATTTTTTTAAAAAGAAATCTACTTTACAAAACATTTTAGGGGGTGTTTGGATGAAAACCAAACCATGGTTTCAGAAGTGCTTTTACGGTTTACGATGTAAATATGTGAGGAGTTTGTCTTGTTTTGCGAAAAAGTGCTTCTTTGAGGTTGCCAAACACTCCCTTAATAATCTTTTACAGTTGCATAAAAATCAAATCTAAAAACAGGGTAGGAAAAAGAATAAATCTAATCTAAAGAATTCAACCGAAAAACATACATGTAAGAACATGGAATTGGAATCTAGAGCCATGATATGCCTAAGATATTATCCCAAATCTCATTTATTCTCAAGGACAGAGGAGTGGGAGCTAACATGGGGTTCGATGAAACAAGAAGGAAGTGGACAAATGTGTACATCTTTTGCTTTTCCTTTCATGATGCGAAAACCATTCCACAAAGGCACCACAGTGCATGGCCAAAATTCGCAAGAAAACAAAAGCAAGCCATTTTCAGATCAATAAAAAGCACAAAAAGTTACTTTGTTTCCCATCCCTGCATGTTCAGACACATCACATGGCTTTGGTGTCCTCTTCATGTTCAAAAAGTCACACAAAATCCTTTGATCCTCCATACCCTCAAGATTCACAGACATCTCAGAAAGGTCAATAGCTCCTACATCTTTTGTTATGTCCTCTTATGTTGTTTTAGCCACTTCTCTTCATGCAAGAAAGTTTCAACCAGAAACCCCAATTCAGGTAATCTTCCAAACCCTTTACCACTTGGTTTTACCACAACTCCATAAAAGTCAAACAAGTACATCACTTTCAGTGGCCAATATGCTCTAGTACAAGATTTAACCCGATTGTTGTCAAGACATTTGCAGCCAAAGCATATTCTTGTAGCAAAGTTTAACTCAAATTTGACATTGCACATGTTCATGTACTAATTTCATAATTAGGTCCTAGTTTAGTAAGGTAAAATGTAATTTGCTCTAATTTTATTAACAACCAGATAACAGCCACCTAAATACTGAACCCGGGCTAGTACCAAAATTTTGTCTACACAATATTAGCCATGTCATGCCATAAAAATCTAGCAAGAAAATGACTTCATCCGAAGACCTGTTCAGTGTTTAAATGCTAGTGATGGAGGTAAAAAAACAGCTTTGATTTCCTAATGGATAAGTATATTGTATCACAGGAACAATATGCAATATAATTACAGTATTAGCTTATGAAATAGTTCTAGCAAGGGGAAACAAGAAGATAAACAAAGGGCTTATGAGTAGGCCGTAAGCTAAAACTAGGAAGTACTTCCACAATTTGCTAAGTGTCGGAAGAGAGTCTAATATATCCAAAAGAGACAAGGGAATGTAGAAGCTAGATTGTCACACCATTGGTAGCTATCCCAGTGCTTAAATTTCTCGGGTCAGGATGGTTCGCATAGTCATCACAGACACCATTAGAGAGCCTCTGAATTGGGACTGAGCTCAGAAGCTCGAGCCCATTGTTGCCCATTTGCTGCTGCACTTCTTGGGGAGAAAGTATTTTGATACACCATACACTACTTACGAATTCCCTGTCAAAGGAAAGATCAAATTGTTTATGCAACTAATAGTAGATTGATCAATTGATTTCATCAAAATAACACACTTCAGAATCAGAAGAAATAGATCTTCAACAGATGGAAAGCCAAAAACCATAAAGCTCATGCGTTTAACTTTCCATTTTATAATGAAGAAATTGGATTTAGATTAAAACTACCAAATAATTCAAAACAGACAACAGAATGGCACTTACGGCCAGGGGCCATCACCGAGGAGAAGAACGTCATTCTCTCGGTCAACAAATACAAGCTGCCAGCCTGATCTCACAGGGTCCTCTAACTTGCCTTCAAGGCCAAACATTCGGGCAAGTTCACTGCGCAGCTCATGGTAGCTGCTGAATTTAGTGATATCCAATGATCTTCCGCAGGACCCTGACTTGTAAACCTGTTAAGTAAAATATAAAATAACAGAACAAGACACATAAATCTACAGTGTTTTGCATGACAAAATTGAAGAAATGGTTTCAATTTTCAAAGAGAATAACCCAGAGGGAAAACTCACCTTGACAAAGGTTTTGTTTTGTGGGTTTCCTTGACCCCCATTATCTGGAATCTCAAGGAAGTTTGATTCAGCGATGCTATGTGTAATTCCATGATTCAATGATGAATCAGTTCCTGTAGTATCCAGGTAATTAGATGACTGAAATTGCTCAATCCCAGAGTCATTGTTGTTGCCAACTCCCTTGAGGCTCGGCATCCCATTCTGCACTATAAGAGATGAGGGGTCTATATTAACACCAAATAAAAGATTGTTCTGAGGATCGGTGCTCCCTTCTTGGTCTATCGAACACTCCCGACCAGGAAAAGGTGGCAACGAAATAACATTCTGTGACATGGTACTTTGTGGCTGCCCTAACAACTCCAACTGAGGCAGAGTGCAATGAGAAGCTCCAGAAGAAAGTAGAGGATCCACCGCAACACGCTTGGAGGGCCAGGCACTAGATGTTTGAACAGGTATCCAAGAGCTAGTCCTGGGTAGGTTGAGAAGGTGGGATGATTCATCTTGGGAATATGAACTCAAGATGCTGTGCAAGGGAGAAACTACAGATCCATTCAAGGAATTCACGTTTGAATCAGAAAAGTTTTGCTGTTGGCAAAGCGAAGACATAGCTTGCATGGATGGTGAATTAGGTTGTGGAGTAGATACAAACTGAGACATTGCAGAAGCACTTGAAATCTGCTGATGATCACCCACTTGCGGTGGCTGCTGATGTTGATTATTGAACGAGTGCTGCTGCTGAAGTTGCATCTGAGTTGGAGCCAAGGATTGAGAAGAATTCTGATTCTCTTGATTGCTCTGACAACCCTGCTGCAGTTGAGACGGCTGGGACATTTGGGCCTGCATTAAAGCAGCAGTCCTGTTGGGGAAGTTCTGTGGCTGCTGAAATTGAAGAAAAGATGCAGGATGCTGTTTGGAAGCATCCAAAGTCCTCATATCCTGAACTGCAGTATTAGCCATAGCTTGGTACATGTCAGTAGGTGAAGTCAACATGGAGGGATCAAGCCTTGGCTGCACCCAAGGATTGAACCCAAACCCCTGGAAGTTAAGAGACTGAAGACCTCTGTCTGTGGTATCTCGAAGCCATAATAGCTGATTACTCAAGCTAAAATTGTCATCCTTCATGCCTGGTAACATTTCATTTCAAGTTTCCATTAGATGCATCATTGACGGGGACATGAAAAATTTAATTAACTTTTCAAAGTTGAAAATGTATCAGGATGTCAGAAACATCTATAAAAAGACTAAACATACCCTGGAAAGAAGGCAATCCTGGAGGCCATGGTCGTTTAAGCCTAAGAGGAAAAGATGATGGATACATTGGAAATGTTGTTAATGGCTCAATTTCCCATAGGGACACTCTAGGTTGCCTCTCTCCGGCTGTAGATTCATCCCAGCCAACCTGCAACGCAATTCAAGGACATGATTTTAAGATCTTTCATATGAAGACAAAATGTTTAATTGGCAACATAAGGCGTGTAGATTCTGGGTAGATAAGAGTAGCATTCAATGTATTTAAATAACATCATCATGATGTTTGAGTTTTGATAGAGGAAATGAATGGGAAGAATTAAAGTGAACAAGAAAGGGTACAAAGGGAAGAAAGGGAGGCTCAAAATTAACAATAAGATATTTTTATAAAGGAATCCTTTATTAAGATGTGATATTGAAATTATAGAAACAATAAATGAATAACAATGATAGTTGGTTCTTCAAAATACTTGAGCTGGGGGAACTTGAAAACGGAAGCAGGGAGGATTAGAATGTTGAAAATCTTTCATTCCACGGTCCCACTAAAGCATATAGTTCCAAATAATGGGGAGGTTTCAACAAAACCAGTCCTTCCATTCCCTTATCCATTAGCCCATACCCAAACATAGGCTAAGATTGTGACCGTTTCCTAGCATACCTTGACAGAACGCCAATGTGAATTTGGCCATCGAACAGGATCCAGTCGCTAATACCAGTTATGGTGCCCATGTATCTGAAAAAAAGAAAAAGTATTGAAATCATGTATTATAATCCCTCAATAGGCAAATGTCATATATATCATATTGAAAATACATAGCAAGAGTCTCTCATTTTCAACAAGCTTGAAGATCTACCTTCGCACACTTGATTCCTCAGTTTCAAACAGCATCCTGAAGCGCATGCCAACTGAAACTCGAGTATGATACACAGCTTTAACATACTTGACTAATGGTATGACAAATTCAGATGGGCTAGCGCTGATATTCAAAAGAGAGAAAAGATTGTCAGTTACAGCAAAATCATTAAGCCTTCAATGACTGAAAAAAAAAAGCATGTAGAAAGGACAAACTGTACCGTGGGTTATAGAAAATGGTAAAACGACTGTTTGTTGAAGCTGCATGAGCAGCAGCAGCAAGAAGCCCCAAGTGCATGCTATCACTTGATAACACTGATGAAGGCATCACAGTTTGTGGACGATTTGCACGCCGGATACCAAGAAGCAACTGATTCTTTTCATTCCTGTTGAAAAGAGTATACTTCCATTGCATCACTAATGAGGTATCACAAATTTATTAACACAAAATCATAAAGCACGAAATCAAGCAGCTAGGGAAAAAAATCAATTACATTCTTCAAGCCCCCAAACAATGTGCTCTGGACATTCAACAAGAAGACTATCTTATCATTAGCAACCAGATCTAAGATCTCTTGCATAAAAAATATCATATTGAAAGGAAATAGAATATGATATAGCTGAATATATATGTCTCCCCTACATAAAGTCCCCAGCTCGGTTCAAGAAGACAACTCAAGCAACCATATAAATATCAAAGATCATAATTCAATTCTGACATGCCAGAAATCAGAGGGGAACAACAGACTCAACTGCTGTCCTGACATGAGCAGCAGACGCTTTGCTTTTGCAAGGAAAATGACCACAAGATCAGAGAATCACTGACCAGATAAACAGAACTGAATCACCAGCAACGAGCCTTTTAGCACTCACAAACACACTCCATCCTGTTGTAAGTAGATGCCTTTTGGGTTGACCTGCAGCAAAATAAGCCAAATGGAATCATTCAAGACAAAATCTATAATACTCCCTCTGGTCCTAAATGTAACACTCATTTTGCAATGTAAATTATGCAGCAAAATAAGTCTTATATGAAGGACCGGATGAGTGTAAATTTTAAAGTACATTTACTTTGAGCCTATGGAAAAACGATGGAGAAAATCTTTATCCAACAAGACTGATAAAATCAAATTCACAACTAAATGAAAATAAATAGGAAAGAGGATGAAAATAATCTCAGCTATAGAACTCACCACGAAAGATATGTCTGAATTTCCATTCATTACCATGCAAATCTCTGGCAATTAGTTCTTGACAAGGAGGTTGTTGGGAGAAGTCCTGTGGTTCCAACTATGACATTAGAATTTGTTGGGGTGGGGGGGGGGGGGATAGTTAATAAGTTTGAAACATCTTATGACTTTTTGGTAAAGTCTTACCAGAGGCGGAAACACTTTCTCAGCTGCCCGGCGTGGAACAGAGAAACCCCCATGTGTGCTTGTGTCACTGGCAGTCAAAGTTTTGCAAAAGTAATTTGTTGGCTGCTTACTAGGAGTGCCCAGCTCTGCTGGAAGGTACGCCTCTTTCTGCTCTTGCTGCAAGCAAGTTCAGAGTCAGATGAGAAGAATATAGTCAACAAACAAAAAGCCATCAACTAGTTAAGAAAGGTATCATACAGGATTTAGAGCTTGCAAGGTCATCTGCGCATATACTTCATCTGTCTCTGCATCCGCCTGAAACCAAAAGCAAATAAACAAAAATAAGTGACGAAATAAAAAGAGAATTCAGGATCATCACATGGGAGAATCTGAAACAAAATAAAACCAATATAAACAAGCCTTACATGCATGGTCACATTATGAAGCTGACAAATAAGCTGCGGAGGCAAGCTAGGGTAATTAGGAATATGGGCATCTACTTCCTTGTTGGTAGACGCAGCAACCTAAGCAGAAAGTACTGAGTTAAAAATCTGCAGGTAAGCAGCTCATGAAGGAAAAGAAGAGAGATACGCTTTCAAATGGAAATGTCTATGAGATGATTTTGGAGAGATAGGTTTATCACAACATCTATCCAAACCCATTAATATGGAGATGTCCCTCAAGTGAATTAACAAGTAAAAGCCTTCATGTACTATCAGAAAGAGGGGGAAAAAAACAAGAACCAAGATAATTCAACTAGAATAGGAAAAGAAACAAAATATGAAAATAGTTTCTTCATGCCCAGACATTAGTCATCTAACATTATTCTTGCCACAGTACCATTTAGTTGAAACATCTTGTCCTCAAGAGCCAAAATCTAGGTTTATGTATATTTATTTTTTACCTACCTGTTCACTGTGACCTTGAGGAAAGTAGACGACACGACTTCCCACTGCTGGTAAGGAAACAAGAGGGCCAGCGCATGCATGCCAAAGTTCCGAATCCAGGACTCGCTTTTCTCCTACAAAATTCATCTCATTTATCATGTTATGCAACAGAAAAATTCATAACTGCAGTCAAAAGCGTCCAACAGAAGAAATGGATTCTGGCATATTAACGTCAAAGCCAGGATCTGAGAATAACACAACAAATACCAAACAAAAAATAAAAGTTCAAAAAAAAAAAATTCTGATCTCTGAGCAACGGGCAGCAAGAACATAATCAAAAAGGTTCACTTAAAAACATATATAAACCAACATGTTCATCAAAAAAATTTCAGTGGGTACATCTCATCGATCAAAAACAAAAAAAAATCCAAAATACATGGACACAAACGGCAAAGCAAGAATCATGTGCGTCGATAAGCAGTACGAGTGGGCTTCTAGTCTTAAAGATTGAGTTCGAACCCCAGTAGAAACCAAAATTATTTTAAGAAATGGCAAAAAAAAAAATTTTAAAGGTTGCCAGAAAGTAGAGATAAGATGAGAGATGAGTACACGAAAGGAGAATTCGCAAATAATAGAGGCATACCTTCTGGAGGTGGAGGGCTAAAACCAGATGAAGATAGTCTCATTTCAGCAAGATTTCAATGATTTTAAAAAAAGAAAAAAAAAACCTCTAAATCGAGCCCACAGTCAAATTATTCAAATCACTCTTTAAGTAGACCAATCTAGCAACAAAATTCTTGCCAAATTACACTCCCACCACAAAACAATCCTTCTTGCTTCTTCCTTAAGTATGCAGAGTATCATTCTTCTTCTTATCTATGTCCTCTTCACCGATCAAACAAACCCTTTAGTAAATTCATACACTCAGATATTGAATTAGCTCGAAAACTTAGACAACCCGAAGATTTTCCCACCCCTCAATCCTCAACCAAAACCAGTTTCGCTACAAAACACAATTGGTTTCCGCCTCATTCGCTTCTTATTCTCATCAACCCCCAAAACCCCAGGTCACAATCTTCAAGAAAAGACTTCATAGCACAACTTTTTCAGAACCACTAACTCAATAAGCTGGCTTTCACAACTTGAAGTTACAATCTCGAGAAACCAGGCCACTCAATAAGCTTCAAAAGCCGGTAGATCTCCGCCGAAGAGCAATGATTCCCATAATAGACCGGATCTCAGAGAAAAAACAACCCAGAAAAAGAGCAAATGATCCAGAACCCAGCTCAAAAACCTCCCCAGCAAAACGTGGAAGCAACTTGACGATGAAAGATCAGGGAAGATAACGATGATAGGCCAATAATAGTGCAGAGCGAGCGTTCAAGAAGAGAGAATCAAAGGCTGGTGTTGGGTTTGGCTCATTTCCAGTAAAGGAAAAAAATAGCAGTTGCTAGTGGTCACCGTGGTGGTGGCGATAGTACTACACTACTATTGCTTTAAGCTGCTTCTCTTTTTCTTTCTCTCTCATATATACATATACATATATAGACGCTCACCATCTTCTCTTTCCTCCTCTGCTCCAATCAATCAGAACGCAAGCGTCATTATTTTCGCTATCTTTTTGAGACGGAGAAAGAGGGCAGTGGTAATACGGGTCGGGCTGTTGGACTATTCGTTACTCGTTTTTTAGATTCTCTTTTTTTCCCTTCCAAATTTCAGGTTTTTAGATTTGTACAGTGTAATTGTAAAATTACAACTATACAAGATAAACGTAGTATAAGAAAAATTTTATCTCATAAAGTACCAAATACTTTTTGAAGTTCTCCCTAACTGGTAAACCTAAAAAAGGGGCTTTTTTTCTTTCTTTCTTTTTTTTTCAAGATCTAGTTTGCAGAGAAATTTTTTTTAGAGTCATCAATATTATTATTGGTATTTGTTGTTGATTAAAATTTGATTTTGATCCTTGTAGTTTCAAATAATTGATTTTGATCTCTATAATTTCACAAAGATTTAGTCTGAGTTGTATATGGACCAAAATCAAAACTTCTAAAAAGTATATAGAGATTGTTAAACTTGGACTAAATCTTTATGAAATTATATAGACCAAAAGTCCAAAACGAAAGATCTAATCTTATAATGATTAAAATCAAAATTCAAACCAACGAAAGTTAAATCTAGTAGAAGGGGTTAATCATTTATAATTGGGTGAATTAAGGCTCAAATTCATGTTGAGATAGGTGCTCACATTAAGTACCTGATAGTGATTCAAACAAAATTACTTCTAAGTGAACTATACTTGTACTTAGGGAAAAAATCAAAATTATCAAATTACAAAAATTAACAATGATATTACGGCAAAAACCACAAAAAAAAAAAACAATGGTATTAACTATTTAACCTCAAGTTTGAAGACATGATTGATTGCATGGTTTTGGGTCATATGGTAATTTATTAATTTATTTATATTTTGCAGCTAGGTTTATATATTTTAATTTTGAATGAATATGTGAAAATGATATAATTTGTTAGATATTTATTCTAGGTGATTGTTAACATAGTTTGAATGATGCTGGTGATTTTTTATTTTTTATTTTGGCCAGCGAGTGATGCTAGTGATTGAAGACTTGTATTTGCATTATTTAGTTTGTTAGATATTAATTTTCCCCTATTATTTGTTTCAAAAAAATGTAAACTTCTCTAAGAAGGTTTCAAAAAGTAAGTGAAGAGTATATTGGACTGACTATTGGTCAAAATCAAAAAAGTATTTATTTATATTTTTATTTTTATTTGATTATTTGTCTGTTTATACCTTTTTAGGATCGTTTTAAAATATTTCTCTAGTCTTTATGTAAAACCTATTTAATTAATTTGATTAAATTAAGAAAGTTAGGTAAGTTAATTTATTATAAGAAGGGTTAATACAAATTTTGGTCCCTCAAATTTGGGCCCAATTTGGTATTGGTCCCTGAAATTTAAAACGTGAGGTATTGGTTCCTGAAATTATATCCGTTTCAGACCGTTAGTCCCTGACATCTTGGCACCGTTAAATTTTGCTGACGTGGCGTTAACACTGTTAACTGATGAGTTGGCATATATGTGGCATATGACCTGGACATGGTATTGGTCCCTCAAATTTGAGGCCATTTTGGTATTGGTCCCTGAAATTTAAAATAGAGGGTATTAGTCCCTCAAATTATATCTGTTTCTGGCCGTTGGTTCTTGATAGCTTTACGCCATCAAATTTGTCTGAGTTGGCTCTAACTTTGTTAACCTATGATATGGCATTTGACTTGGCAACTAAAACTTGATGATGTGGCATGAGCAATGGAAGGCTATGGTCGAAGAGAATCTATGCAATCTGGGATTCACTTTTGTCAAAACATAGAGCTTCTGCTCCTATATTATTGTGGAGGAAACACATTGCATTCTCAGCTAAACCTTCTACCTCATCTGCTACCTTTGGGCAAAAAGGTGACTTAACAGTTCATGAGAAGAAGAAGCCAGCTTCAGATACAAAACCACTCCCATTGAAGCCATCTTCTTCTAGTACAGACGATGATGAACCTCCCAAGAAAAAAGAGAAGCCCATTACCAGAGTAAGAAGCTTGAGAAAAAGCAACAAGAACCTCACTAGCAACTCCAACAAAAAGGCAGGCACAACCAGCAAGCCACCAGAGCCGTTGACAGCAAAGTAGAGGGTTCTACAGGAACAGATAAAAAGAGGAGGGCCTAAAGCTATCAGGGACCAAATGTTAGAAACAGATATAATTTGAGGGACCAATACCATCAGTTTTAAATTTCAGGGACCAATACCAAAATGGCCCCAAATTTGAAAGACCAATATCATGTCCAGGTCATATGCCAACTCATCAGTTTAACCGTGTTAACGCCACGTCAGCAGAATTTAACGGTGCTAAGATGCCAGGGACCAACGGTCTGAAACGAACATAATTTCAGGGACCAATATCACACGTTTTAAATTTTAGGGACAATACCAAATTGGACCCAAATTTGAGGGATTAAAATTTGTATTAACCCTTATAAGAAATATGGCGTATTTTTTTAAATACTACAGTCATATTTCTTAATATCCTCTCACACTCTCTTAATTATAGTTGAGCTAAAAGTAATTTCAAAAAAATTAATAAATATAAAAAATAGGTCTTATATTTAAGATCATAGTCAACTCAATAATTAGGTTCTATATTAAGGAAGCGAGAAGTAAACAAATAAATATCCATTCTTATTCTAGTCTATTTTTCTTACACATCTGTTTAGCAGTTGAAAGTTTCAATTTAAAGTTTGAAATGATAATGAGTTTTTTTTCCTACAGATAGTATTATTAAACATTTTAAAATAAATTTGAAAGTTATATTTTATAAATATATAAAAATATCTTTTCTTTTCCACTTTAAGCCAGTCAAGTAGAGGGGGTGAAAAAACGACAGCCAAGCGGGAAACATCCCTCAAAACTCATTATTGTTTTTTTTTTTTTCAGTGGCCGTTTGATTTGTAGACTAGAAAAGATTTACTACTATTTTATTGTAAGAAAATGTATAATATGTAATATTTATTGTTTCTCATTATTTCATAATTGTAAAATTATTTAAGGTTACAAAGTATTCATTTAAAATATAAGGTTATTTTTCTTATTTGTTTCATTATGCAAACCAAACATCTCTTTGGAAGTACAATATTGACCATGTTTTTATAATTTCTACATAATGCCCCACTTTTGTGTCTGTGTATGTGTGAAGATTTGCCACAAAATTTTTTTTCCAAAACATAGCTATTATAGTAAAAAATATCATGTCCGAGTTGGCACTAAATGTGAATGTATCTCCTAAATAAAAGTTACCTCAATTTTAAATAAGATCCCCATAGCTTATTTTGTTTGAATTGGGCTTTTATAACAAGAACAACTATAAGCATTCATCCTTCAGTAATCAGTATAAAATGAATTAAATTTAATTTATAAAATTTAATGAATCTTATGGAATTTATTCCATTTTGTTTAATTTAACACTATTTTAATAACCATGCATTTTTATTACCACCACTCAATTCAAATGAATTAAACTATAGGGATGTAGGGATTAATTTTTCCATGTGTGTGTTAATATACCACCTAGTTTTAGAAATTATATTAAGTCATAAATAATTCACTTCAGGCAAAGTCAATCCACATAAATGCAACGCCCTTCCAATGACTATTTTCTGAATATGCAAGACTTTATTCACAGTGAATAAGACGTCATTTTTTCATTGATTTTTTGATAAGAATAAGAAATTATATATAGCATCAATTATCTGCGATTTTTGTATATATTGTATGAAGTCTAAAAATTGAATTAGTATTATTTTTAATTTATTAATAATTCAAATTATTATAAATTTATATTTTATATTGATAGACTACATTAATAACCAATATTTCTTTATTTTTTTCGTTTTTTGAGTAAAATTATTTTTTTCGTATTTAATATTTCAAGTACTAAATCATATCTTAATACCAATTACAAAAGTAAATTACATATCCATGCATCAACCTCAAGGTTGAGCGAGATTACTAAAGTACCCTCGTAACTCTATTTTCATGCAGAAAGGGATTGGAGTGGATGATTAGGTGAAGTATTATTATTTCGGCAATAGCGACTTGTTTTGGAGCCACTCATCATGCAAATCCAACATATTACGTTTGGTTCCCTTGCAAAATCCAAAGGCCGCTTTCACTTGTGGTGGGATTAATATGTTAATTTTTAAAGTCCAAGTAATTATCCAACGAGTCATTTGACTAACTTAAATGGTAAAAGCATATGTATGTTCAATACGTATCATTCTACATTCAGATTCAAAGTCTATTCAAATATTTAATTCATACTACTGGTTTTCTTTCTTGAAGGGTAAAGTATGCTTGGTTATCTAAGTTTGCATTAAATTTCAGTTTAAGCCCGAAAGTTTTTAAAGTGTATTTTTAGCCTATTTTACAAAAAATTTTAACACAGCAAATTTAGATAGTGAATCTCCGACAAAGCTACCTCATATCCTTAATATAAGAGTTATTTTAACTAATTCAGAAAAATTAACAAAATTGGTTGAATTAATTATTTGTAACAAATACAATAGTTGATTTTCCTAAAATACTCTTTAATTATGACCACCCTTGGATATAAATCTCCTTAAAATGTGTATCAATGAAGATTTATATTATAATTTAAGAGATACAATAGATTGAGTTTTTATATATTTAAGACCAAATCCAATTTTTCAAACTGGGTAGCTCTTATATTAGAAATCATTTTTTTGGTTATTGGGTCTTTAATAATAAGCTTTAAGTCAAGTCTTATAGGCCAAACTCAGGTTTCAAGTCTATAATGCAGGACTCACTTGGCTTTTTCCGAAACTTGGTATACCCTCTTAATTGACGTGGTTTTAGGTCTAAATTACGATATTATATAGACATAAAAAAGCTTAATATTAAAAATTTATAACTTAATATTTTCAATGTAAATAAGTTAATGTCCATTTATAATCACAAATTTAACTTTCGTGGTCAGCATTTATCAGA